TGTACAAAGCCAGCTCCATAAAGACATGGTTTGACCAGCTTGGTGTGAAGGAACGTGAGTGTCCTGTACAGAGCCCTGACCTTAACTCTACTGAACACCTTTGGGGTGAATTGAAACTAGGATTGTGCTTTTCTGACCTTGTGGTATCAGTTTGGTGAAGACCCTTTTCTGTTCCAACGTGACTGTCTCCTGTGTACAAAGCCAGTTCCATAAAGACGTGGTTTGATCAGCTTGGTGTGAAGGAACTTGAGTGTCCTTCACACAGCCCTGATCTTAACCCTATTGAACACCTTTGAGATGAATTGGAACTCCAATTGTGCTCCTCTGACCTTGTGACATCAGTTTGGTGAAGACCTTTTGGTATGGAGGATATCTAGTTCTCATCCTCAGCCCTCAGGTACCCCAGTAGGCCACATTTTCAATGTCAATGGCCTGGTAGTTATGACAGCTATTTTATCTAAGGATAAATCCCACACATGGTCTCTTGGTGCTCCTCAAAGACTGAGGTTGCATACCCCTGTTTTAGATAACTTTGCTTTTCCAATCTTGTGGTAAGTTTGGTGAAGACCCTTTTCTGTTCCAGCCCCTGTATAGAAAGCCAGCTCCATAAAGACATGGTTTGACCAGTTTTGTGTGGAGGAACTTGAGTGTCCTTTACAGAGCCCTGACCTCAACCCTACTGAACACCTTTGGCATAAACTATAATGCCAATTCTGAGCCAAGTCTTCTCATCCAACCTCAATACCTGACCACCCAAATAATCTTTTGGCTGAATGGAAACCAATTCCTGCAGACACACTCCAAAATTTGGCAGGAAGCCCTCCTAGAAGAGTGAAACCAGCTCCATAAAGGCATGGTTTGGCCAGTTTGGTGTGGAGAAATGAGCCTTGACCTCAATCCTACTGAACACCTTTTGATGGAATTGGAATGCTCCTAATCCTACTTTTGGCAGAGCCTTTAGGATCAGGTCTTCTTATCCGAGACCAGTATCTGCCCTTGACCCTACTGAAAACCTCAGGTCAGGTCTTCTCATCCCAACGGCATTCAGTAGTTTGAGGTTATGGTGGAACTCAAGTGTCCTGACCTCAACCCTACTGAACACCTTTGGGATAAACTGTAATGCTAATTCTGAGCCAAGTCTTCTCATCTAACCTCAGTACCTGACCACCCAAATAATCTTTTGGCTGAATGGACACCGATTCCCGCAGACACACTCCAAAATTTGGCAGGAAGGCCTCCTAGAAGAGTGAAACCAGCTCCATAAAAGGTGTGGTTTGGCCAGTTTGGTGTGGGGAAACACGAGCCCTGACCTCAATTCTACTGAACACCTTTGGGTTGAATTGGAATGCTCCTAATCCTACTTTTGGAAGAGCCTTTAGGATCAGGTCTTCTTATCCAAGACCAGTATCTGCCCTCGACCCTACTGAAAACCTCAGGTCAGGTCTTCTCATCCCAACGGCGTTCAGTAGATTCGAGGTTATGGAGGAACTCAAGTGTCCTGATCTCAACCCTACTTTTGGAAGACCTTTGGAATTGTTTCTTCTCATCTAACATCAGTGCCTGCCAAAGCCATATTAATGGCCATGGAGGGGAGGGAGGCAAATCCATAATAGTGACCATCAGGGGCGGACTGACAACAAAATGGGGCTTCCGGGCAATAGGGGATCATGGGGCCCCATGTCCTCACCCACACTCAAACCACACCCAAAAAAGCCTATGAAAAGGTACCAGGGACATCTCATGGGGCCCCCTACTGACCCCGGGCCCTCGGGCAGTGCCGGAGTTCCCCAATGGTCAGTCCGCCCCTGGTGACCATGGTTTTGGAAAGGGTTTCCAGCAACCTCATACACACTTTTGTCCATATCTCTTTATATGGGAAAGGGATAGCTGCTCCCATAACTACATAAAACACATTACAAATTCATTTTTGTCTTTTGAAATTATTGTATATGAATTGCATGTTAATTTTATAATATTATTAATACAGTATATTTTGTAAATAATGGAGGAGATCAAGGATTTTTGCCTACTTGGGCGAAGGCGCATTTTGTCGCCCTTCCCTGGCGTCACCGCCATGATCGCACTGGGACAACAGATCCTGGTATACGTGGCGTGGGTGTGGGGTGGGATCATGCAGGGAGGGCAGGGGGTCATAGTTGCTTATATCACTCACATTGAAGGCTGGTTTTTACAAAAGGGTACAAACTCTTGGCCGCTATAGTTACATAGTTAGTCTGGCTGAAAAAAGACAAAAGTCCATCCAGTTCAACCATTAAAAATAATGGTGGTTGGGAGTGTGCAAAAAACAAGTCTGCGGCACCGGTAAAAATCCAAATCCCCAGCAAGTGGTTGGGGATTCAGATTTTACCAATCCTTGAGCCAAAAGGAGGCTGCCTATGCTGTCTTATGGTTGCTCCGGCCCAATAAAGGTGTCCCCCTATTATCAGAGCAATTACTTACAGCCAGTTGAGACGAGGCATTTCCGAACATAATGAATTGCTTGGTATGGCACTTATGGAATTGTTTAACATGTACCTGCATAAAAAGAGATTAAGATCACATATCTAGCATTGGTTACGGAAATACAACATTTTCTAAAAGAATTAAGCTCGATTCCGAATAAATCACGTCCGGAGAAAACACAAACTTACGACTTCCACTAATCTACATTGTTCAAAACACCGCCTAGGATTAAGCCCCTACGGGGAAAAAAACATACCAGACATGGGTTCTTGGGTGGTGGTGACCTGATCAATAAAATTTAGTGGAGATAGTAACCTCATTAATGTATTCATTTTTTTTTTTTCAAATAAAATGATACCTCAGAGTTTCAAATATCTTTTTGTCAGGACCCAGATCTGAACCTACAACCTCTGCTGGGTCTGGCAATGCCTTTTCTTGCTGAGCCACCTGGGATGTTGGAAAGCTCTGTGGACAATTCATTGATGATCCTGTCTTAAAGCTTTTTGTTTCTCTTGAACTTTGAAGCCTTTGCTCCTCCCATGAACTTCCTGATTTGAGCCATGTCGCTGCACTTCCTGTTTGTCAGATTATTGTGCTCTCTCCAACCATTGTCTTGCTCCTGTCGTTGCCATTTGTGTCTCCACTACCACTTGTTACTGACCTTTGGCTTGTTCTTCGACTACGCTTCTGCTGGATCCCTACCTGCTATATCTTCTACTGAACCCCGGCTTGTCCACCTCCTAGTGGGGCGATCCCGACCTAATACGAACATGCAGCAAAACCCATCTCCACCAGCAGGAGTTCTAGTAAATACTGGTTAGTGCCAGGGGCGGACTGACAACTCACGGGGCGCCCGGGCAATAGGGGATCATGGGGCCCCTGTGTCCTTGCCCAAACTCAAAAAACCCTATAAAAAAAAAAAAAAAAAGGTACCAGGGGCATCTCATGGGGCCCCCTACTGACCCCGGGCCCTCAGGCAGTGCCGAGTTTCCAAATGGTCAGTCCGCCCCTGGTTAATGCCTAGGAGGTCCACACAGTGGTGTATTTAGGTCTTGGGCTGCCCTAGGCAACATAAAAATCATCTGCCCCCAAGGACACCGACCAACACAACCCCCCACTTCCCCCTTCCGTGGAGAGAGCCTGACATTGACCAACAACACCCCTGCCCCCACCCGAGAGGGCCTTCCACTACCCCCCTTCCCAGCCATGGAGAGAAACTCATCTTCACAGCTCCAGACGTCCCCAGGAACAAGACCCAGGCTCTACATACACCATGAAGAAGCCTTTCTTGGATCCCACCTAGTTCCCATGGTGCGCATGTCCTTTTTTCATCCCTTTTTCAGGGGAGGTGCTGCCCCCCCCTGAAAAAGTTCCTTGTTTGCCTTGTGGTAAATACTCCCCTGGGTCCACACCTCAGGTAAGCCTAAGTCATCCGCCAGGGTGCCCTGCTTGTGTACCTATCCTGCTGGTTGGTGAAGGCCTCTCTACTGCTATAGCTACTGGTCTCCAAGCCTGACCCCTAACCATGGTACTTTGACCGCCATTTGTGGCACTTCTAACCCATCAACATCGAAACTTACCTGTGAAGAATCCATTCCATTGGGTCGAGCGACCAAACATGAGCCAAGATACCGGATTAGATTTAGTAGAATATATTAAAAGGTTGAATGTTTAAATAGCCGGGAAAAGCCAAGTCTTTTCTTGGAAAAAAAAATGCCATCTAACCGAATAAATCAGCCTTGACATCCAAAAAATGAGGATAGGAAATTGAGGGGAACTAGTAGAGGAAGGATAAAGGAAGGTCTGTAGAATGATTGTGGGAACTGATTTTAGAGAAGTAGATCTGAATCTGATCAACAGGACCTTTATTTTTACAGCTAGTTACTGAATGAAAGGGTGACAGCAATTGTTGTTGCTTGAAGAGTTGGGCACCTAGCCAAAACCTAAATCACTTCCTATTTGACTGTAGAAGAGTTGTACGGCTTTGGAAAAGACTTGAGGCTTGGGAATATGGCTGGATGAACATACATATAAATTTATCATTCAAAAAAAATGATTGTGTTCCTACATGGTGCCAGGAAAGGGACTGCGAATTACCGGACAATGATTACATCAAAAACTGCTGGTATATCGATCGCAGCCTCAAGGTGGATTGGGCTTGCCCAGTTTATGGCACGCTTATTTATGAGCAAGTTTGGCACAGTGGCACGCCTCTCTTACAGGTATACCCTGGCTTCAATTTGTAACACCGTCAATAGATCCCCTATTCTTACCGGGAATTCTATGGTCCAAGTCACTTCGCCCCAGAGATGTAGCTCCTATCAACCCAATTGTATGCCAATCATTGCATTTATGGTTCCTACACATCCAGAAATTTAAACTCGCGTCTCCCTCTACTCCCTTAGCTCCGTACCTAGGAGATGTCACCTTTGCTGGGGTGTATTCGTCAAGATCTACTTTCTCCCATTGGGTCGAACATAACTTGGTTCCTTTGAACTTACTCTTGGTTGGCCCCCACAATTTTGTTCCTTCACTCATATCCAGAAAATGCACGATTTTCCGAACTCAAATTTGTAGGTAATTGAAACATTCAGAGTTAGGAAAATCGTGTGTTTGCTGGATATGAGTGAAGGAACAAAAATTGTGGGGGCCAACCAAGAGTAAGTTCAAAGGAACCAAGTTATGTTCGACCCAATGGGAGAAAGTAGATCTTGACGAATATTCCCCCAGCGAAGGTGACATCTCCTAGGTACGGAGCTGAAAGAGTAGAGGGAGACGCAAGTTTAAATTTCTAGTTGTATAGGAACCCTAAATGCAATGATTGGCATACAATTGGGCTGATAGGACCATAAGGACTCTCCCGCTTCTCCCCTCATTACCTTTTTGTTAATGGATACTTTGGGGTTCCGTTCTTCTCCACTCACCTTTTACTACCAACACCCAAACAAGACTTGAGTGTGAGAAGAACGGAACACCAAAGTATCCATTCAAAAAAAAGGAAATGAGGGGAGAAGCGGGAGAGCCCTTATGGTCCTATCAACCCAATTGTATGCCAATCATTGCATTTATGGTTCCTACACAATTAGACATTTAAACTCTCATCTACCTCTACTCCTTAAGCTCGATACCTAGGAGATGTCACCTTTGCTGGGGTGTACTCGTCAAGATCTACTTTCTCCCATTGGGTCGAACATAACTTGGTTCCTTTGAACTTACTCTTGGTTGGCCCCCACAATTTTGTTCCTTCACTCATATCCAGAAAATGCACGATTTTCCTAACTCAAATTTGTAGGTAATTGAAACATTCAGAGTTAGGAAAATCGTGTGTTTGCTGGATATGAGTGAAGGAACAAAAATTGTGGGGGCCAACCAAGAGTAAGTTCAAAGTAACCAAGTTATGTTTGACCCAATGGGAGAAAGTAGATCTTGATGAATATTCCCCCAGCGAAGGTGACATCTCCTAGGTACGGAGCTGAAAGAGTAGAGGGAGACGCAAGTTTAAATTTCTAGTTGTATAGGAATCCTAAATGCAATGATTGGCATACAATTGGGCTGATAGGACCATAAGGGCTCTCCCGCTTCTCCCCTCATTACCTTTTTGTTAATGGATACTTTGGGGTTCCGTTCTTCTCCTCACCTTTTACTACCAACACCCAACAAGACTTAACTTCTTCTTGGTACCTTTCTCTCAGCGTAACTTTTGAGCAATATGGGGATCAGTGTGTACCTGGTACTATAAAAATGTCGAATTTGTAGGTATTTGAAACATTGATAGTACCAATTAGACACGGATCCCCATATTGCTCGAAAGTTACGTTGAGAGAAAGGTACCCAGAAGAAGTTAAGTCTTGTTGGGTGTTGGTAGTAAAAGGTGAGTGTGAGAAGAACGAAACACCAAAGTATCCATCAAAAAAAAAAGGAAATGAGGGGAGAAGCGGGAGAGCCCTTATGGTCCTATCAACCCAATTGTATGCCAATCATTGCATTTATGGTTCCTACACAACTAGAAATTTAAACTCGCGTCTCCCTCTCCTCCCTTAGCTCCATACCTAGAAGATGTCACCTTCGCTGAGGTGTATTCGGCAAGATCTACTTTCTCCCATTGGGTTGAACATAACTTGGCTCCTTTGAACTTACTCTTGGTTGGCCCCCACAATTTTGTTCCTTCACTCATATCCAGCAAACGCACGATTTTCCTAACTCTAAAAATGTCAAAATTTGTAGGTATTTGAAACATTCAGAGTTAGGAAAATCGTGTGTTTGCTGGATATGAGTGAAAGAACAAAATTGTGGGGGCAAAGCATGATCCAATTTGCTCCTGCAGGGAAAAAAATTAATTCCTGATCCCCCGAGAGGCAATCGGATATTCCTTAGATCAACCTTACCTATAAATGTTATATCCAGTTATATTCTGTGTATCCAAGAAAGAATCCAGGACTTTTTTTTGCGTTCTACTGAGCTGGCCAGAACCAGGGGCGGACTGACCATTTGGAAACTCGGGCAGTGCCTGAGGGCCCGGGGTCAGTAGGGGGCCCCATGATATGCCCCTGGTACCTTTTTCATAGACTTTTTTGAGTTTGGGCAAGGACACAGGGGCCCCATGATCCCGTATTGCCCGGGGGCCCCATGAGTTGTCAGTCCGCCCCTGGCAAGAACCAACTCTTGAGGGAGAAGTTGGGTTTAATTGTAAGCGACTCTTTTTTGATTACGAATTTAAAGGTTACAGTTGATGAGGTTGCCCTATCGTAAAACAATAACTCAGCCAGTCACACTTGACCTGTTAGGCCATTAGGGCTCCAGGAACGCAGAGCGCGCCATGAAACGTCTATTCCACGTGTAACAATTCCCCATACAATCCATAGAACTCAACAGGAACCGGGCACATTAATATTAGGCATATATTTGAATAGGGAATATCATACCAAACCAATCAAGGTCCTACAGGACTATGTTAGCACCTAGGAAAGGGGAGAAAGCAGTCTCTTCCCTCTTGTGTGACAAAGCCTGGCCTTGCCCAAACTCAAAGCTAGCCTTACA